CACAAGTAACTCATGGGCGACCGCAAGTCTGTTCTTGCTATAATTGTTTTAGTGTGTATTGTGTCGCTGGTGTTCATAAAACCTGACAGATTTTATGTTGTTGATTGTTAACTGAATAACATGTTTAAAATAAAAAGTGGAACTAAAATAAAGTCAGGATATTCCACTAAATGAGTTAGAATATTAAAAATGACCATTAAGTCTTCATTGGAATAGAGATTTAGTTGTGTATTCTCAGTTTTAGCATTCTCCACCTCCCACCCCCCCAAAAAGATGAAGCTAGACTATGTCCCTGGGTGGATGGGTAGCACTTTTTGGAGTTATGCCAGCATTGGAAATATTTGTCATGAGGTTTAATAAATTTTCTGTAAATGTAGAATACTTGAGGCGGTCGCATAAAAGTGTGATTGACATATATATACAAAAAAAAAAATTTAAAAATCAAAACTGATACCAACATATTCTTCATTTGAAAAAGGTAGATATTGACAAAGTGCCTTGCCCAAGGACACAAGCAGAATGCAACCTTTGACCCCAGTGGTTTTTCTTCTATTGATAAAACTTTTTTAACAAACTTTTTATGAATGTTATATAAATAATTTATGAATGAAAAATAAAAATTTTAATATTGATTAATACGTTAACTGCCAAGCCTTTTTTCTCAGTTCCAACCCATACTCCAAGGCATAAAGGGTGCCACCAAGACGAGAGTTTGTGTTCTTGTGACCACTGCCAGCGAGTTTGTGTGCAATACAATTGGTATGTTGGTCAGATGTGGACGTGAACTCATGTCCATGGCATCCTATTGGAGTGAACCCTGTTGGACGTGAACTTGCGTGTCTGGCAGAAAAATTGATGATAATACTGTAGCAACTCAATGTAACATTTTATGTCTTGCAGTTTAAATGAGGCCGGACAAACTGCTCTTGGACCAGGTCTTTTGGTGTCTATTGCAATGGCATCACAACGACCAGGTTCAAAGGTGATTGTATGCACCGATGGAATGGCTAATATTGGACTGGGCAGTCTTCTCTATACAGACACTGAGTATGAGTATGAGGCTGCATCTGTGTTTTACGAAGAGGCCGGAAAATATGCTCGCGACAGTGGGTGAGTACTATATATAATTTTAAAGCTTATTTCCTCCACTTTTTTTTTTTTACAATGGTTACCCTAACATATGATAAATTGAAATAAATAAATAAAATATGTACCATTATGTTTCAGTTTTCATTTTCAATTTATTCAAATCACAAATAGCAGTGACATGACAGAATTACTTGTGATAGAAACATTTAAAAAGTATAAGATATACTTACAAGTGAGTTGGTTTGTTTTAATAGTGAGAAAAATTACTGAAAAAAAAAATTGTGCCTATAGGACCATTGATTAAGAGGCAAGCATCTTAACTAATCTACAGCTGCAGAGTTCAAAGGAAACATCTAAATGGTGAAGAACTCATGGCTATATTTAAGGATGTTGAAACACTGAAGTAAAGTTCAGCACTACCATATGTATGCATGTTTCTTTTGCTTTTACCTGAGACAAGCTGACAAATTGTAACCACATTATGGGAAAGCACTGACACAGAAAATAATGGTAGTCCACTTCCTGAAGAAAAAATATCCAGGTGTTGGGTCAGAGGCAAAGTACTTCCACATTCTGTCAATTCATCCAATATTCTAGTGGGATACCCAATGATGGCGGAAAAGTGGAGGGGGAAGTGGTCAAGGAATGATCCCTTCATCTGATAAGCAACGCTACCACTGTTGTTGAGACCATTTGAGGTTGCGGACATTATAAGAACATTAATTTTCTAATTGATCCTAAATTAATTTTAATATTTTAATAATAATTAATAATAAGAATAGCTATAAATATAATAATAATGCGAGAGATGGATTATTTTCCTGCTCAGTGGTGGATCCGGGGGAGGGGGTTTAGGGGGTTTGGACGAACCTCCCTCTGTGAAGAAATGTAACAAAATACTAGGCCCTACTTGGTCCTGGCTTACAAAAGACATGTCAACCTACCTAGGCATAGGTTGGCAGATCAGACAAACTAGGCTTAGCCCAACTAGTCTTCAATCAAATAAATTATACACACTGTTTTTGGTT